GGGGGAGCCACTTCGAGATCCTCACCTCCCGGGAAGAGTTTCGATGGGATGGATCTTTCTCTCTCTCGCAGCGGCGCGTGTAAGTCCAATAACTCCTTGGACAGGGGGCCTCGTGGACAAACCGCACCATTTCCCCAGAACGTCATCCTAAGCTTAAGGAGAAAAAGGCTGGGCAAGGGGGGTTTTCGACCATGGTCCACGTCTCATCGGCCGAGACTCGGTACGACGACGGGGGAGAGGGCGGGACCACAAAGTTGAAAACCCCCTGGTCCCATTCGATGAAGTGGACTTTGGCCAAGAACTACAATGGCTGCCCAGATGGCACAAGAAACATTTGCGAGAGCGACACTCAGCCACTTGGTAAGGACCTCGGCGGTAAAAGTGTGGTGGAAGGAGGGGCGGCGATGGCGGGACGGCGGGAGAGGATCTCGTAAGTGGCCAAGGGTGGTTTCGCGATCCTGGGCTTTGCTTCATCTTTCTGCCGATTTCCAGCTGGGCATCTCTCTTTTGTTTTTCCACTAGTCGCTTGCTAGAGTGTGGCGCATTACGCAGAGATTAAAGCGTAGACCCCGTAGTTCGACAATCAACACAATGTAAATCAAGCTCGTCGATTTTCTTCATAGCTCCTGAGAAAGCTTTCGTCTTAACGATGGACAGTTAAGCTCGTGTGAAGGAAGGGGAAGGTTACAGGGGGCAAGCCCAGCAAAACTTCAGACAACACCTCCCTACTATGCCCCATATCGAGCCAGTAAACCCAAGCCATGGGCAGCAAAGCACCTCGTTGCGTGTTTTTCGTCCAATCTCCCATTAGTGATGAGCAGCCGGGAAAAAACAAGGGCCAATTCATTCGACCTTTCGAGGGAAGAGGGAGGTTGAAAAAGTCGGGATGACATGGGAAGGGGGGGGGGGGGGGCTTCGTGTAAAGCCTGCGGCTGAGACGTCTGTACCTAGCGCCGATCAAACCTAAAACCTCCCGCCCGGTGCGACGCGGAGACGGTGGGGCCGTGTTAGCGGCCTTGCCTTCTCTCCCCGCTTACTCCCTAACAGGAGCGCACTGGTCACGGCCCCTGTCAACGTAATCCGGGCTCGCTGTGGGATGAACCGCCATGTATCACCATTCTTTCTCCGTGTTTGACGCTGTTCAGCCTGTGGATTCCAAGAGCAAAAGGCATGAGGTCTTGGTCATTGGCCCTTCACCTGCAATACCAGTACACGGTCAAGAGTCTGGTCACACCATTGAGCCCAACCCATTATCTCCTACCTTGGGATGATAGCGCCCTGTTGTTTCCGCAAGCATATATCCCAGCTCCTTAAGGATACTCTCAAAGCCTTCAGCAATGTGTATTCATTCTCGCCATTCAGCCCATCACTCAATGCCGGGTTGCAGTGATCTTGGTAGTGGCAATGCTCGTTGAAGTAAATTTCTAGTTCGGTATTGTAGATCTTGAACCATGTGGATATCCAACGCCGCTGGGGTTTTTCGTGTGGAAAAATCATACAATTCATTACGTGACGAAGTCAATAGACCTCGCAATTTACTTAATATTTACCCAATGCTCTCTCCTGCGGCCTGTTCACTACACGCCTCACATGTAACACCTTACGGCACTGGGCTCACACGTAGTAACCCTTGACCACACATCATCGTAGCAAGTGCGGATAGAGCATGAAGCCTGAACTAGACTGAATTCATTCCATTCTTTAACCATCCGTGTGGATTGTAATACCATACATGCCTTAGGCCCTGTCGTCTCCAATTCAAAAACAAGACTAAAAAGTGGTCCCAACCAGCCTGACTGAGCCACCTTGCCGCATTAAACATACACTGCCCTCATTTCGAGTCACCAGTCTCTCACTAATACTTGGTATCCCAATCGAAATGCGGGTCGATAGGCCCCTAAGCCCCGCCCTCAGACTGGTTCCCAGGTGTGTTGGTGTTCGACACACCGTGGAAGGCATCGCCAAACGCAGAGTCCTCCATCTCCATGTTCATATCCAGACCATCGCCCATAGACCCGCCGTAGCCAGCCATGGCGTCACCGGCCGAGTCCAGGTCACCCAGCGAGCTGAAGCCGCCGGGCGTCTGAGTATCTGCTGGCGTTCCGGCAGCAGATGGGGGCTTGACAGCAGGCTTGGCAGCGTCGCCCTCAGTTGCAGTGGCGGTGGTGGCGGCGGCTCCGGCTGAGGGGTCGGGCGTTGCGCCTCCCTTAGGCACGACGACCCATTCACCGCTGCCGGTTCCTTGATCAGGCGCGGTGACAGAGGCATCTTTGGAGGACTCTGTGTTGCCCATTGTGACATCCTCACCCGTGGCAGCAGGAGCGCCAGTGGAAGTCTGCGCCTCGGTCTCCTCCTGAATAGTAGGAGGGACCGGTGCGGGCGACTGCACATTTGCGTTGGCTGGCGTACCTGCGTTTGAGTTCAACGCGGACATGTGTGTTTGCGGTGTAGGGAAGTTGTTCAGAGGAGTCGAGTTGGCAGAGAACCCAGTGTGCATCTCGTCGAGTAGTCCTGCTGCCGTGCCTCCCATATCAATATCCGAATCGCCTACCATCACGCCACTGTGGTTAGAACCAGCCTGAGACGGCCGCCGTGATCCCGAGGCATTCGCATCTACACCAGCTGCCGGGGCGGGAGGTGAGCTCGCCGGCGGCGGGACTGGTGAAGGCTCCTTAACAGGTTCAGGGGCGGGTTCCTGGAAACCGCCATCTTGTATGCGGTGCACATTGTGGAGGACCTCAATGTGCCGGCCCAGGTTGGCCTCAACCTGAGCCACAATCTCGTCCACCTTCTTGTTGTGCTTCTGTGACCACGGGCCGGAGTTATCATCCGCATCGGCAGAGTAACCCTCCAGACGCCACGGCTCCGGTCCACGCTCCTGAACGGACTTTTTCACATCCTTCTCCGCATCAACGAATACCGAGCTCGCCTTGAGGCTTGCCAGGTTCTTTGCATGCTCCGCCTTCATCTTCTCCATCTCAGCCTTGGTGGCATCGAGGTGCTCCTGGACCCGTTTTCTGAACTCATCAGCCAGGCCAGGCTCTAGCCGTCCAATGTAAGGCTTCTGGGGCGGCTCAGTGAGTGCGTTTGCGCTCTGCGCTGAGAAGATGCCATCAGTCAAAGGTGCCAGCTCTCCCTTGAGGCCTAATCCGAGATCAGGGGGCGCAATCTGACTGAGGCCGTAGGGCGAAGACACAATCTCCTCCATCCACTCATGGTTTTGTTGGTACCGTGCGAAGGAAATGTCTCTAGGGGTAAGATGGTCAAAGAGATCCTTCTCGAGTTCTTCGTCGTCATGGAGAGCCTCGGCGTGAGCCAAGGCTTGTTGTTGCTGCTGGGCTTGCGCCTGAGCCTGTGCTTGTTGGCGGCCACGACGTCCCTGGGGACCCGCCGGGGGATAGGCCATCTGCTGCGGTACGCGCCGCGACTGCGCCGGCGGGTTGTACATCTGAGGCCGTCCGCCATTACGCGGGAACTGGATCGAGGGCCAGCTCGCGCGATCCGAAAGCATGAAGTCCTTTCGTGCAATCTGACCACACTTCTGAAGGTGATTGCGAGTCCCCATGATGTGCTGGGTCTCTTGTGACACGGGGATCAGGTTGACAGGGACGCGGTCGGAGGGGTCGGAAGGGCCGTAGTGAACGATCCAAAGACTGATGTCTGGCTGGGGCGCGTTCATTACTCCGGTCTGCGAGGGTACGAGGCGGAATCTGCGACGAGCGTGCATGGCGACCTGTTCGCCAGGAATGAATGCCGACTTGACGAAGTGGATTTCGAGAGACTGATGATAAAGTCAGATTGTTCCTTCAATAACGCGACAGGATGCCTACCAATCCATTTCCAACGTCTTGTCTATGGTACTGCTCGGGTCCACAGATCATGCCGTCGCTAGCGAAGTTGGTTCCGAGCCTCTTGAGAGGTTGCCATGTAAGATAGACCTGGCCGTCGCGGGGTCGATCGAGGTAGGTCCAGAAGAAGGGAGCTTTGTCTTTCGCGACTTGGGGCGCCGCCATTAACCACTTCGTTACTTGGTTCAGGTCAACGCGTGCCTGGTCGGCATAGTGGTTGGCGGAGATGAGATGAGCATGGCTCAGCTAGAAGATGGTTAGCGATGAGTTGAATTCTTTTCTTTGATACCAAATATGATGCTGGCTGCGGTGACCTACCAGCTCCTGATCGATACCGTCACTTGGGTCTTGCGCCATGGTGGATCGCGACGTGGGATTTACGATGCGATAGGGTTGGGGAGGATGCTGATGCACAGCTTTTGTCGCGCAGAACAAGTGATTGTCTCCTCAGGCCGTGATTGTCTGTGAGGAGGGCAGTCGACAAAGAAGTGGGAAGGATTGAGATGGCGCGACAATTGGGGAAGCTACTGTTGGTTGATGGATTGATTGACTTGCAGCTTGGTTCGCGGTCCCCAAATTTGTCGCGACGAGGCTGCGGCACCACGAGTGACCCTTGTAGACAGTTGGCCAATCGTAGAGGTACTGGTTAAGGACCGTGCATGTGGGTACAATTCCTCGGGTACCGTGAATCCAGCCTCCGAACACACTGTGCAAGCAGCTCCGTGTTCACTGTTAGTCCCGACCTTAGCCGGTTCTTCGCCGGTAAAGGAGTGGTCAAGTTTTCGTCAAATTCCTTTCGCATCGCAAGATCTTTCTAGAAGAAAAGTTATGTGGAAGGATGTAGAGTATAGTCAAGGTACAACACGTTGCCACACATGCTTACTTGAGAGACTTGCATCATGACACACTGTGTGAATGTGTGTGTTTTAACTTTTTTCTAGATAGTCGTCCGCCTATGGTCATAGCTAAGACAAGCTTCTGCTCAACAGCTTCACCTCATGAAATTCGGCATGGCGCACGTTGGAAGGGTTCGGAATGAGAAAGTGGTGGAACTTTTTGTTTCAATTACGTGTAATCATTTCATTTCATTCTCCTGGCATCCTTATACCAGTTCTTATAGTGAGCCCTCTATTTAACCTATCCAGAAAACCATTAAGCGTTGTATGTAGAAGCAGAGACGTTACCTCCGCGGCCGGTCCAGTTGACGTGGTGGTACTGGCCAGCGGGGTACTTGTCGTTAGCTGACTCGGGCTTGACGAGGAAGGTGTGAGCACCTGCAGAAACAGTATGATTAGCAAAATGTCAAAGGACTTCGTGGTATCAAGAAGCTTACCGAAGTAGTCGCGCTGAGCCTGGAGGAGGTTGGCGGGGAGATCCTTGGTGCGGTAACCGTCGAACCAAGACAGAGCGGTGGAGAAGGCCGGGGTCGGGATACCAAGGAGGGCGGCCTTGGCGACGACGTCTCTCCAGCCGGGCTGAGCAGTGTGGATGGCCTTGTTGAAGAAGTCGTCGAAGAGAAGGTTCTCGAGGTCGGGGTTGCTGCGGAAAGCGTTGGTGATGTCCTTGAGGAAGACGGAGCGGATAATGCAGCCACCACGCCACATGAGGGCGATGGAGGGCTTGTTAAGCTTCCAGCCGTACTCCTTGGCGGCCTCGTTCATCAATTGGAAACCCTGAGCGTAGGAGACGATCTTGGAGGCGTACAGAGCCTGCTCGAGGTCGTCGATGAACTGCTCCTTGTTGCCCTCGAACTTGTTGGTGCGGCCAACGTACTGAAGCTTGCTGGAAGCCTTAACACGCTCCTCCTTGATGGAGGACAGGCAGCGGGCAAGGACAGCCTCGGCGATGAGGGTGACGGGCATACCGAGGTCAAGGGCGTTGATAGCGGTCCACTTGCCGGTACCCTTCTGACCAGCCTGGTCGAGGATCTTCTCGACGAGGGGAGTTCCATCGTCATCGTTGTAGTAGAGAATGTCACGGGTGATCTCAATCAGGAAAGAGTCCAAGACGCCCTTGTTCCACTTGGCAAAGACATCACCAATCTCCTTGCAGGAGAGGCCGAGACCGCGCTTCAGGATATCGTAGGCCTGGATGTGGTGTTAGCTACCAGCATATAGCTACGAGGAGCTCGGGTGGGGTTGCATACCTCGCAGATAAGCTGCATGTCACCGTACTCAATACCGTTGTGGACCATCTTGACGTAGTGACCGGCACCCTCATCACCGACCCAGTCGCAGCAGGGCTCGTTGTCGCTCTTAGCGGAGATGCTCTGGAAAAGGTCCTTGATGTGGGGCCAGGCCTCCTCGTTACCACCGGGCATCATGGAGGGACCGTAGCGGGCACCCTCCTCACCACCAGAGACACCGGAGCCGACGAAGCGGATGCCCTTGGAAGCGCAGTACTTGGTGCGGCGGTTGGAGTCGGGGAAGTGAGAGTTACCACCGTCGATGATGATGTCACCCTTCTCAAGGAGGGGGATGAGGGTGTCAATGTAGTCATCGACGGCCTTACCGGCCTGGACGAGAAGCATGACTCGCTTGGGGCTCTTAAGTTTTGAAACGAACTCCTCCAGAGAGTGAGCGCCCACGATGGACTTGCCCTTGGCCTCGTTGGCCAAGAATCGGTCGACCTTGGAGACGGTACGGTTGAAGGCGGCAACGGTGAAACCGTGGTCTAGAAAAGGATATTAGCCACCTGAATATGGGTATGGGATGTGATTGTCGGAATTACCGGCGGCGTTGAGGATAATGCTATGAGAGAGTTAGTGATTCAATTCTTACATATGGAAATCTGGTAGAACTTACTTTTGACCCATAACGGCCAGGCCGATGAGGCCCATATCAGCGCTGTGACGATGGTCAGCTTGAGTATTCACTAGCCGGACGTTGCTTATTCAGGTGTGAGGAGAAGGAGAGCGGAGCGGGACCTCGGAGCAGGCACAACGCCTGCCACAAGGTTGGCAAGACGAGCGCTGCATTACGAGCATGAGTATGTTATTGCGTCGAGAAAGGAGAGGGCGATGACTTGAGGCCAATGTTACATGTGCATTGGCACCTCCCGAGGCCGCACCGGCACCGAAGCCATCACGACGGACGTCGACATGCGGGAAATTCGCAGCCATGGTCATTGTCGTGAGGCATCGGAGGTCGGGAGCGGGGTGGTGGGGTAATTTTTCTTTTGGCTTGAGAGCGGAGAGGGGTTTAGAAGGCAGAGCGAGGTATTACTTACACAGGTCCAGACATGATGAATGATGTGTCGGTGGTTTAGGTGGGGGGTGTTGTTTGATGGAGGAGAGGTTCAAACGCGCGAATCTTTGATGATATGCGGGAGCGTCGAGTTATTTATCTCTAGGGAATGTGTCAAGAAGGAGACGAGAAGCTGGAGCTTTCGTCAACCCGGACGAAGTTTGTAGGGGGAGGGTCGACGGAGGGGTAGGAGGGGAGGGGGGGTGGTTTGTCTTAGTGCAGGGGCCACCCATGACAAGCGCAGATGTGCACACTCCCACTCCCCCAAGTTCCCAATGGAAGTCGACAAGTACCTCCCGGTGCTTTCTCAGCTTGGCCTTCTACCTCCTGCGGTACGGATACAACTTTTTCTCTCTCTTCCATCGCTTCCCATTCTTTCTTTGGGGGTGGGATATCTCTCAAAGACTGGGCAGAAAAGCGGGACTAGACGGCTTGTTCGACCATCGACAGGGCTGCTTTGCTGCTTTGACTTGGCTGGCCAGTGGTCGCCCCTCCTGGACTCTCCTGGACTAACTCGAGATGATTGGCTTTTTCCTGTTGGCGGGACGAGCTTACTCATGGACAAAGAGGTACATGCGCAGAATGTAGGTACCTTACTCTGCCTTGCGCTGCTTGTATTTTCCATGCTTTGGCAATCCAATCCCACTTTCACTTCCAGCACTTCCGTACGGATTACGGAGTATGTACACGCATACAGAAAAGAAGAGGGACACATACATCACCGCTCAGGACGTGGAGCTCCATTGAGAGGACCAGACCCTCCTCCAGCCAGCTCCAATTGGACGGCCTGTCAAGGAGGGGCACTTATGACGATGCTCTCTTCTGTCACCTCGCCTTTCCCGCGTTTCTCTGCCATCCGCCATTCTTGTTGTTGAGCAAATAAGCCAGAAGCCTTTTTCACTCGTTTGGCTGTGTCTGGCAAAGCAGATTGACACCAAACACCACCTACGCCAACCGGGTATACTTATGCTCTCAGAGAGCATGAAATGTACCCGACCTTCTCTCCACTGCGACTCCGATGTACCACGGTTACCGCATTGTGCAAGAGAACCGGCCCGCACGGCGGAGGGCGGCCCAGCAACGACCATCATGCCTGCTCCACGCCGGTGGTGTTTTAGTCAAGCAGCGCGCCAGCCTGACGAAGCCCGTCGTGCAAAAAGGCGCTTCTGGATCCGTCCTGTTGTGGTCCGATTCGGCGATAGGCACCCGTTCCCATTGGCCGCCGTGAGCATGTCTCACACTCTGCGTGTTCCAGGGGAGGGATTTGCGACTCCGGTATTCAAACTCGATGCGTCAGACCCTGACGTTTCGCAACCCACGGCCGCGGAGGAACACTCTGCGCTCGGTCTAACAGGCCGCGGGGGCTCTGCCTAATCACCAATGCTAATCTTGCGCGACGCACTGCGGCGTTGCGGCCTGTCTGCTGGCGGCATATAATATTATTGCCCTCCCAACGGAGCTCCGGTACTCGCTCGCTCGCTTCGTATGCTCCTGGACCGTCTTGGGTGGTAGGGGGTGAGGAACCACAGGGAATGTGATTTGTCTGGTCCATCGTTGTCTTGCCTATGGCCATGCCCCAAACGGCCCTCGACTTTGAGTTGAGAGCCGCCCTGCACGTGCAGCATCTGTCTCTCGCTCCGGACTGCATTGGAGGAAATTCCGTTTCTTCAGCATAGAAGAGACCCCCATGCTGCCGGGCCGTTCCAGCAAAGCTTCGAGAACGTCCAAACCCTGGAGGAGGCCTGCAGTGCAGAGAGATACTGGGACGTCGCGTTGTCGCTATTCATCCATGAGCGCGCGCTCGGCACTCCGCCTTCAGTCGGAGAGAACGCCGTGAAAGACGCAGCCTTACCACCACCACTACCAACCACCAAAAACGATTGCGATTATAGTTAGGCATTCGATGGGAAAAAGGCAGCGGCCGATGCGCATGCGTCTCGCGTTTCCTATCCCTGGACAGCGGATAGCGGGCCTTGCTCGATATACGCGACAAATCACGATGCGCTTCCAATGGTGTGCAGAGGAAGTCGGCCCCAACCAAACCGAAGCTGGCCGTAATGAACCCCTCCAATTCCTCCAGTTGGACTGCTTGGCCGAAGCAGCCTCAATCTATTGGGTTCGTTGAGACCCACGCCCTCAGCAGAAGGGACAGAAAATATCGCACCTCCATCTCCCAAGGTACCTCAAGGTGTGGATGGAGGCAGCGTAGCCGCAGCGCAACCGCCGACGGTGAATCCGTCCCTCGCTGCTCACAAATCGAGAAATATGGCTCTCACAAAGGGAAAACGAGGGGCAACCTCAGTGGGGGTTACCGCCGCCTTCGGGCCTTGGATCGGTCGCACGACCCGGAGTCGTCGGTTGAGAACTCCGCTAATGCTCCGCTTAGAATCCACGCGCATTACTGATTGGCATGGCCCTGACCGAGGGAAAACGCAGCGTCGTGTCGGAGGGCGACGGAGGCCATGATGTCAGTCAGCAAACACCGATAGCTGCACTACTGATTATCCGTTATGTCCGTCTGAAGATGTCCGACGGATAAAATGCAGCTGATGCAGGAACAGCATGGTTAAATGGGATGGTGATAATCCCAGCCGACGGAACGTGAGTCTGACCAGCACGGCCGGTGCCAAATAATCAAATGGCTCAAGACGGAACTGGGATTCCTGTTTTCCGAGTTTAGACTTCTCTGGGCGTTTAATCGGCGGCATGGGCTGCATTGTGAACCTCGGGATTCGAGAAGCATTGATTTAGGTGCGCGGGATGCAATGAGCGGCAGTTGGTGTAGTCCACCCACCTGGAAGGTTGAAGAGCAGTGCCAAGCAATGGACACTTCCCTGTCCGAGCTTCTTTCACGAACAAGCCACAGACGGCACGTGACAGATCAAACTCAGCCACCAGCCACATTGGCAACACACCATCGCCGAGGCTGAGACGACATCGTCACAATTTCTCCGAATACATCACCAGCAAAACCCATCTCTGCATTTGCGACAGCCCCGACAACAGCACGCCCACCGTCGGCTATAGCAAACAGCAAAGGAGATTTGACTTCTTTGAGCAGGAACATCCCAGGCTCAGAGGTACGTTACCACAAAAAAGCTCAAGCAAAGCCACACGCGCCTTGCTTGCACAAAAAAACCGTATCATACCCGCAGTTCATTCATCATGGCCTACCCGCCCCCTCCAGGTATCTCAAGCGGCCCCTCTACCGGCAATCCACCTTCTCATCCCTCCCTGCCCGCGAGGCCCCCTCCGAGCAAGTCGTCCGGAGGCTTCAAGCCCGCCTTCAAACCCGCCTACGGAGCTGCAGCCTCATCCGCGCCTACCTCCTACTCGAGTGCACCGACCTATGCCAGCGCGCCCGCCGCCCATTATGGCTCACCCTACGCATCGTACTCGCAACAACCGTCGCCGTCGCCCTCGGTAGGCGGGGCCGGCCGCTATGGAGCACCGGTGCCCTCTTACGATTCATACACACAACCCGGCGCCGGCTCTCGTTACGGCCAGGCCTCGAGCTACAATGCGCCGCCTTCGACCTACGGCGCAGCGCCGCAGATTCGCAACCCGTTCCCGATTCCCGGCACCGGCGCCCCTGCCGGCGGCGCATCCGCCGCTTCGGCGTCCGACTACGACCCGGACATGGCGATGCAGATAGCACAGTGGCAGAGCGCATACAGCTCGAACGGCACTAAGGACGCCAGCGGTAAAGACCCGGTCGTCCCCAGCGGTCGTGGGGGCTTCCCTGGAACAGGCAGCAACGTCGCAACCCCTCCCATCATCGACCCCGCAGCCGCGGCCGCAGCGGCAGCAGCAGCGAACCAGCCCCCCGAGCGCAAGAAGACCGTCGTCCGCGAGGGTGGCGGCAAGAAGTGGACCGACGACACCCTCGCCGAGTGGGACCCGAGTCACCTGCGCCTGTTTGTCGGTAACCTCGCGGGCGAAGTCACAGACGAATCCCTCCTCAAGGCCTTTTCGCGATGGCAGTCGGTACAGAAGGCGCGCGTGATCCGCGACAAGCGCACCGCCAAGTCCAAGGGGTACGGTTTCGTCTCCTTCAGCGACGCCGACGACTTTTTCCAGGCCGCCAAGGAGATGAATGGCAAGTACATCCAGAGCCACCCCGTCACGGTGCGCAAGGCGAACACGGAGATCAAGATCACCAACGTCAAGGGCAAGGACCACCGCAACAACCGCAATAACAAGAACAAGAAGCACTCCGGCAACGGTGGTGGCGGAGGAAACAAGAATGCAGATGGTACCGGGTATGAACCCCACCTCGGCCCTGTGCATAGTCACGGTGTCATCAAGCCTGGACAGAAGACCAAGAACGGCCTCAAATTGCTTGGATGATTTTTTCTTGGTTTCAGAAATAGCTCATTCGGCTAGACTGGCGTTCTGGAGTTGGAGGTCACCCATACCCATCATAATCAAAGAATTACATAAAATAGAAGTACTTTCTCGGTCAGACTTTGCAATGAATGTACCAACTGTGTGATGTGATGAACTGCATCTCCTGGCGGGGCCCTCTCCGATGTACCGTGTTATGCTACTGATTGCTACATCTCTTGACGTGGTGAAGAAGGTGGGAAGTCAGACATTACCATCAGAGAATTCCCAATAAATCCCCCAAGGGCCCCTTATCTCGATCCATCCTCCTTTTACGCGGCTGATTGTGTAACAGGTGGTAGCACAACAGAGGTACTCAAGATGAAATGACCTTCATCCAAGCTCAGATTCATCCTTCCCACACTCCATCCAACTCGGTAAGTCACTCCAAAAACCCCAGACCGAATATCATCGCTGGAACCCGGTAACACGATCCTGATTAAAAGCCGCACTGATGAGGGCCAAGTGACTGAAAGCCTGGGGCGTGTTGCCGAGCTGCTCGCCGCTGCGGGCAATCTCTTCCGAGAACATGGAGAGGTGGTTGGAGAAGCTCAGCATGTTCTCAAAGAGGTTGACGGCGCGGACGAGGTATTTTGGCTCGTAGACGGAGGCGCGCGTCATCGCTTCGACGAGCCAAAAGGTGCACATGCTAAAGGCGCCTTCTCTTCCGCCGACGCCTGGGGAGCAAGCGATATAGGTTAGGTATCGCATCGCACGAGAGACGGGGGAAACTTGGGGGGCGTACCATCGTCTGATAACTCGGTATCGTAACGGGAGACGAGACCTGTGCTGGTGAGGCCGCCCTTTTCGGGGGGCATGAGGATGCGGTCCATTGTGTTTAGGAAGCGCGGGTCGTTGGGGGCGATGAAGAAGACGAGCGGGGCGATGAGGATGGAGGAGTCGAGCATGGTGTTGTTCTCGTAGCTCTGAACGAAGCACTTCATCTCCTTGTTGTAGCCTGTTATACCGCCGGTGCGGCGGTTGTCAGTTTGTCGTCTCTACTCTCAGTCGGCTCTTCCGCGTCATGTTTGGCATGTGTGCATGTGTATACGCCAAGGAATAATGGAGGGATAGAGAGTTGTGAAAGGTTGGGTAGATTAGCGCCAAAGGATAAGGGAAACGTACCCTTTTCCATTATCTCCTCCATCAGGTTATCGCGGGCTTCGAGCCATTTGCTACGATTGGGACAGGGGAAGTTGCGTTTGTCTGCAAGCCGGAGGCCGCGGTCGAAGGCGACCCAGAGCATGACTTTTGAGTAGGTGAAGTTTTGCTTCTTATTGCGTACCTCCCAGATGGACATGTCAGGTTCTAGTCAACATCAATACTCATGTCCTTATTCCATAGGAAAGAAGTTGACAACTTACGATCTGTCAAAGTAAGGACAAAGTCTATGCAGCAAGTCAGCTCCAGTGTTCAGCAGAGGAAAGAAGAACATCATCAACGTCCAAAGAGACAACACATACCCAGCATCTCCCTCACAGAACACCACTGATCCCAGCTGATGGGCTTCCCGTACTTGTTATACAGATAGATACCATCCATGAGCTCGCCGTAGATGTCAAACTGCTGATGGAACGCCGCGCCGTTGCCGATCCGCACGGGCTTGCTGCCGCGATAGCCCTCGAGGTGGTCTAGCTCCATCTCGGGGATCTCGGTCTCGCCGCGGATGGTGAACATGATGGGCAGCTCGCCGCTGGGGCCGCGCGACTTGACGAAACGCTCGCTGATGAAGTCCATGTAGGCGTCTGCCTCGGCGGAGAAGCCGAGGCGGAGGAGGATGTAGATTGTGAAGCTCGAGTCGCGGACCCAGCAGAAGCGGTAGTCCCAGTTCCTGTCGTGAACCAGTGAGCTTTCTCTAGTGGAGCTGAAGGGGAAGAAGGGGAAGAAGGGGAAGAAGAGGGAAGAAACAAGCACAATGGGATTATGTGAAATGCCTTACCGAACACCACCGATATCCTCGGGGATAGAAAACGTCGGCGCGGCCACGATGGCGCCGGTGGGCTCGTACGTCAGCATCTTGAGCAGCATCAGGCTCCGGTTGACGACCTCGCGCCACCGGCCCTTGTACTTGCTCTTGGAGATCCAGTTGTACCAAAACGACTGCGTGTCGTGCTGCTGCCCGTCGAGCACCGCCGTCGTGACGTTCTCCGTGACGTGGTCCGGCTTGTCGTTCCGCAGGACGAACGAGACGGCCTGGCCCTCTGTGATTTCCAGGTGCGCGACGACGCCCTCGCCCAGCATACCGTCGCGCTTCTCCTTTCTGAAAGTGATGGAGGGCGCCGGTGCCGCCGCCGCCGGTGCCGATGCGTCCGCCTCGGACTCGGGGACGACGTCGTCGATGGTGACGTCGAGCTGCATCTTGTAGTGCTCGCTGTGGAAGGTGACGGCTTTGCTTGGGCTGTTTGCCGTGTGAGTCGGCTCGATGATGGTGGTGACGTGGGACTCGCTGGCGTATTGGAAGGCCGGGAAAATCTCAATATCTGGGAATGTCAGCTTAGCATGAACTGAACCTTTGTGAGTATCGAACAGTGGCTACCCACCGAGCTGGAGACGGCCGCGGATACACTCGACTCGACGGACGAGCCATTTCTTCAGCTCCTCCTGGATCTTGGTCGTTTCACGGAATGCGCCTTGGCGGGTGCTCTTCGATATGACCGTGGCAGTCTTGGGTCGAGGGAAAAAGTCCACAACGTCGACGACGCCGTCATCGTGGATGTATCTAGTTTGCAAGATATTGGAGGATGGGAGATATTGTTGTCTTTTTGGAAACTGGTCAGGGGTATCACGACGGGGGAAAGTAGTTGGATTTGCTCACTTGGTTGTGCACAGCTTGGACGGAGGAGGACAGATGCTGAAGAAGCCTCCCTTTTCCTGGTCTAGTAACCGACAAAAAATACTGGGAGAATCGAAGTCCGGCCTGGGCAATGGTGCGTCAGATGTCAGGGTTCATGGGCGAGATGTAAGTGGTAGTATCTCATCCACTGGGGAATTTGAGCTCATGAGGGCCGGATGATAGATAGGCCTTTCAACCGCTTTGGTCTCAAGATATTTTGATCTCAAGATCTTGGTACATTGAGATGATCCTCTTGTAGCATCTTATGCCGTTATTCATCTCATCGGCTGCTATGGGAAGAGATGAAGAGAGCATTGGGAAGTTCATCACTCGGCCGAATGTAACGTCGGCCCGAGGGGAACGTGTAAGTAGCATAAAGACAAAATGAGGAAGAAAGGCAATCTCATACCAGCACATAAAGTCAACTGAACCGTTCGTCCCCACAAGCGCGCATGTATGCATGTTGCCAATCATACCATAGTCCTCGATCGGCAGGTACCCGGCGCGGCTGCCGGCGACATGCCTCGTCGAGCACTGTTGAGCCATGATGTCGTTTCCCGGATCGTCGGAGAAGCTAGTTGGAGATATCAAATATGGTCAAATATTATATGTGCTCATATGAGACCTCTTTCAGTGAGATGAATATGATAGATATGAGAAAACAACAGGGGATATCCAGCCTATAGTTACTGCCGAACAGCCATGAAACCAACTGAACGTAAGCTATGAAGTCAAGATTAAGGTCTAAGCAATGGGGGGGTTAAACCCCGGCGATTACACAGAGAGAACGGGTAGAGCGGAAGCCACGATCTGCGGCTACCCGACTGTGGCTGCGGGGAGAAACCAACAAAACACATGTCAGCGGACGCTTTTGTCATGGTGTCGTCTCTCGATGATTAACGCCGACTAACACCTAGCGCTCAGGTTCTCTCGACCTGCAGCCGACGTGCTGCAGCATAAACAGAAACGGATGCGCCGCTCGCTCCCGCTGCGTGATTGCCTACTACCAAATTCAAATGAGCACTAGCTATAGGAGCTCTCAGGTGAAAGGCTGTACTTCGGATGAAAAGCTGTATTGTTTATCCCAAGGCAGACAGCTTCTGAGAGAGGGGGGCGTGACTTGGACCCAAAGTGCGTGATGTCAAGCACCCGAAAGTCTGATGACGCTGTTCAATATCGCATCGCGCCGCTAGTGAGAATCCACTTTGGGAGCTCAGCTCAGTCAGCTCAGCTCATATGGATACCTAAATGAAGTTGAGCTGCCAGATCGGCAAAACCCCAGGCCCAGGCCCCAGGCACAACACGCGCGAAAGCTACCCTGTTGGAGCTTAGACAATGTGACGAAAATCAAATAGAACCCAATACTATGTACTATGTAGAAACTCTCATGGAAAAGGAATACGGATTATGGTGGAGATTTTCCGAAGCTATTCTGCCCAAGAACCCACCGCTCACCTGAACAGAGAGATCGATCGCAAGGACCTTGAACATCGTATGCGGGGGACGATCTACAGAGTACGGTGTTGAATGACGGTGGCTGACATCATGGGGAAAAGGGTCTGGACCTATTTCTCTCCCTTGGAACGTCTAGCTCGTTCACTCAGGATCTCCCATCCAGCATCCTACACGAAAGGGTGAGACACTCACGCGTTGGGGAACGGGAAAAGGGAAAGAAAAAGGAAATTCAACGGCGACGGACAGCGGCTGGTAGGTACGCGTAGGTAATCAGGAAGGCTGAACGAGGCGGGTAAGGTGTCTCACTTAACCGCCTTGGGTTTTTGTAGGTATTTCTTTTCAATCCTTTTGGCGCCGGGTTTGATTTCTCGCGCACAAAACAGCACGTCGGGGCTGGTTGGCTGGGTAAGACAAGACATTTCAACGGCCTCGAAAGCTAAGGGGCCAAGGAAGCTTCACGGTTTGTGGGACCTGTGGTAGCTTGTGACGCCGTCTTATTCCTTTCTTCTCCGCGTCTGCGGGGAGAGAGGAAGGATAGAAAAAAATGAGACTTGTGTGGGAGGTTGGCGCGGTGGTTTACCGACATTGTTGTATCTGTCAGTCGATAGTTCCGATTCTAGAGTACCCATCGGACTCGGATTCTCTCATGCCCGCCGTCTGTGAGGTTCGATGCCCCTTTTGGGATGGATTCAACCGTGCGGATATTAGGTCCATGCGTCAAGAGGATAGGGCGACGGGAGAGCTGGGGAAAACAACAGCCTCCCTGCGAACGGATGCGGACCGAGGCAACAAGCATGTTGTTTGCTGTATCCATTGTATCTGCAAGGCAAAGGTCTCAGAAAGAAACGGGACTCGGAAACGAAAACAATGCGACTGTTGTTCAGGATGGAGGTTGATCACTTAATCAGCAACCTCGAGACCGAGAGGGATGGGGTGGCTAAGAACATGATTCAAACAAATCGGATGCTGGGCGGGCTTTTTCTTTTCTTTTGCTCGGCAGAGGGTTGCTGTGCAGCCCGAGGATCCGGGTCCGGAACATGGTGAAAGCTGGCTGGGCGGGAGAGGGAGTTGCGACTTCAATTGGGTTGAGAAAACCACGGGCTGGTGTGTGAGACTGAGATCATTGTGAGACTCTCTCTCTCTCAAAGGTGGGTTGGATCGCTGTGAGCAGTTGGTCACCCGAGCACCTTCGTCGCAAAGTTGGAATAGTCCCGACCGCTAGACTCCTGTAGCTAGGTAGGTAGGTAGTTAGACTGTAAGAGCTCTACCGACGACCGTGATACCTAAGCACATGGCTAGCAACATAACCGAGAGACTTATGCTACTGCCCACGATGAATGACCTCCCTGCAGCTTGACTACGGAACCGCGGTGAGGGGCGGAGGAGAGGAGAGGAGGGACTGAGGGGAGAGGGGGTTGCGGTAAGGTTGCGTCGGACAGGGCCCCCAACAAGTGGATGAGAGATCCTGTGACTCTGGATGTGAGAGACGGCTGGGCCAAGCTTAAATGGGAGGTTGCATTTTCGGAGGTGTTGGGTTTGTGTGTGTCGGATAGCATTTTAGTAGGACGAACGGGTCCATTTACCGCCCGTGAAACTTGAAGCATCACATCTTCGGACGACCCTCAGTTACTGGCGATCTGGGCCACTTTCGCGTTATGCTATTGCTTCCATGCTTAACACTACTCGGTCTGTGACCTCACCTACTACCAGTAGTTACGGACCACTGTGTAGGTGAGGTTGATGGGGGGATCACTACGGATAAAGGGGCTAACACATTGCAGCTAACTTCGCGTACCTCGAGGTAATCTCAGATACTTTAGTAGAAGGACACACTAGTGACGGGCCGCTGGAAAGCATAAAAAGACAAAGGAACGTTGTCCAGCTGAAGACGGGGACCACGAACGAAGAAGCATGGTGACTCAAAAAACACGCGTATTGTTACTACCTCATTCGTCCCGGGTGGTGACCGTGGTGAAGTCGTGAGAGAGAAATCTCTCATAGTAGCGGGTGCTATTGCAGGCAGACCCAATTCTTCCTTCCGTTCAGTTCTTCCAGGCCCATTGATCCTCGTCCAGCCCGCGGTGGGATGCACTGTTTGTTGACAGTTGTTCTCGCCAGGCCGCTCTGCATGTGGATTCCCACCCAGAAGTCGCCTCCTTCTCCTCGCGTGCCTTGGTGAGCGTCCTTCTGAGCTGGCATGTCACAGGGAGCATAAGGAAAGGTCATCCCTGATGACGACCCTGACCGCCCATGGGAGAAAGCCTGGAAGCGAAGTGCAGTTGTGCCAGTGCTGCAGCAGAAGCCCACGAGACGTCTCCACCGTGAGGCGTGCCAAGGCCATCTCCACATTTCATCTTGGGAGCAGGAAGCAGAGACATTTTGCAGAGATTGAAGCACCTGTCCTCAGGAGAAGTTCAGACTGTACATGCGAATACTACTGTGTAATGCGTACCTTAGAGAAGTTGAGTGGAAGGCGGGTGCGGTAGCGGTAATTGGCGGTAAGCATAAGCCACCGAGATCATGGGCAGGGGGCTGCAGGGCCAGACGGGCAGTGGGCAGCGGTACGTACCTGCAGCAACTTCCAGAGGTTCCCCCTGCCACACCTGCTAGGTGGGTTGGGCCTGTCCCCACCTCACCGCAGTCCCCGGTCCCCTTTTTCCCCTCCCAGCCCGCCTGCCCCGTCCCTCTCCTTCTCCCTAGCAGTGGACCATTTTCAGAGACTCAGCGTGTCTGGTACGTACCCACCTCGTCCGCGTGTGGGCGCCCGCGCGACACCTGTGACTGGAGAAATGATCCGCACCGCACCGCCGTGGCCGTGAACCAGGATTAGGACCTTTCTCACACGCAGTCTGTCCTCTCGACAGCCTAACTCCAAATGTGCTTCCAAATGCACCAAACATTGCACCAAAGCACCACAAGCCCAGACCCCGACAGCAAATCAACTGCGCCCAGTTCCCTCGTCCCGACCCCATCGACCTAGGCCGATCTACCTTGCCTTTTACTGCGAAGGTATTGCGGCGCCCAGAGAAGACGACGGCCGGTAAACTGGATCTGACCCGGTAATACACACCGTACGCATACACCCAGCCTACCAGCCCCGGCAGCTTAGGTTGTGCTTGTGAATCCCGCTGTGGATTCCCAGATTAAATCATGCCCCAATCCTCCTCCTCGCCCTCCGACTCGGCTTCCTCTTCACTTGTGCATGTCCTGCTGCCTCCCGACCCTAGCCAATCTCATTCTCATTCTCAACTTCAATCTCAATCTGCCTCTGTTTCCGTCTCGGCTGCTGCCAGTGCCGTGTCATCCTCCCCCGACCCCATTGACCACGACGACGCCCTCCCCTCCTCATCCTCCTCCTCACACGACCACCACCACACTACTGATACCACCAACCGTCGCCTCCTGAGCCCGTCACCTCTGCTTCTCCCACCACCCACCGCACCCTCGCCTGGACACGCGACCACCACGGATAACACACCCTCGAACCCGGATGGTCCACGGCCACGAGACGTCCTTCCCGCTCATACTGCCCACGCATCGTTGCGCCAGGGCCCTTCTTCTTCCTCCCTCAACACCGCCGCTCGAGAACGTTCTCCTACTGTCGCCGCCGACGACGACGAGATCGAAATGGAGCCATTGAAAGGAACCGGCCACCGCCGGCGCCGCAGCTCGCTCATGCAAAGTGCCGGCGCTAGTAACCACCAAAGAGTCCCGTCAAGGAATCAGGGGAACATGTTGGAAGAGCCAAAGATATCGGAGGAGGATCTCGGAGCAACACCATCGGCATCCAAGAATATCGACGACGACAGCTTTTCCGACGAGGATCTCCATGATGACGAGGAGACGGGTTTGACTAAGAAAGATAAGAGGAGGAAGAAGCAAAAGAAGAGGAACAACACGCGGTTAGATCAGCGCTTCGTCCGCGGCGAAATCTCGGCCGAGGAGAAGAAGGAAGCAGATCAAAACGTCTTTAGGAAATCCGCCGTCAACGTCGCCCTGATCTTGCTGTGGTACTTCTTTTCTCTCAGCATTTCACTGGTAAGCCCATTTGCCCATACGCTGCTCTTTGTCGTTACGGCCCGCAGAATCACAAGCTGACACAAGAGGCCCACAGTATAACAAGTGGATGTTTGATGAGAACCGCCTCAACTTTGCTTTCCCTCTTTTCACGACGGCCTGCCATATGTTGGTACAATTCGGCCTCGCATCATTAGTGCTATTCTTAATACCCTCCCTGCGCCCGTCCAATGGAGTGCGCAATTCGGATTTGGGCCGCTCGAGGCACGAATCCGAGCCCGACAGACCTCTGATGACCAAGATGTTCTATCTGACGCGCATTGGGCCGTGTGGTGCTGCAACGGGTCTCGATATTGGACTCGGTAACACCTCGCTCAAGTTTATCACCCTGACATTCTACAGTAAGTAATATGCGCCGCCCGACGCTCACCGCAAAAAACTAAACCCTCTTTAGCCATGTGTAAATCGTCTTCCCTAGCGTTCGTTTTGATCTTCGCCTTCTTGTTCAGACTCGAGAAGCCCACGTGGCGCCTCGTGGCTATCATTGCGACAATGACTGCGGGTGTCGTTCTGATGGTGTCGGGAGAAGTCGAGTTCAAGGTCAGCGGGTTCATCCTCGTCATCTCTGCGGCCTTCTTCTCTGGTTTTAGATGGGGCCTGACGCAAATCCTGCTCCTGCGCAACCCGGCAACGTCGAATCCCTTCTCCAGCATCTTCTTCCTGGCGCCCGTCATGTTCCTGACGTTGATCATTATCGCCATCCCCGTCGAGGGATTCCCCGCCCTCATCGAGGGCCTGAAAGTCCTCGTCGCTGAATGGGGCGCCATTACGACGCCGCTGTTCCTGCTTTTCCCCGGATGTATCGCCTTCCTCATGACAGCTTCGGAATTCGCTCTGCTGCAGCGTACCTCCGTCGTGACGCTTTCCATCGCCGGTATCTTCAAGGAGGTCGTGACAATTTCCGCCGCCGCCATCGTCTTCAACGACCGCCTCACGCCCGTCAACTTTGTCGGTCTCATCACCACCATGGGCGCCATCGTCGCGTACAACTACATCAAGATCACTCAGATGCGCGAGGACGCACAGAAAGAGGTTCAGCGTGGCCACATGGAGGTTGCGCACGCCTCGGGCGCCTCCTCGAGCGGAAGCGATAACGACGACGGCAGCGGCGAGGAGGCGGGTCTGCTGAGGAACAGCACCGATTACGAGGACAACCTCGTCACTGCCGACGGCGATATTCTGCCAAACCCGGGACACACCGCGCACGAGTCGAGGACGGCCCAAGCCCACCGCGACAACTAGACAGTCGTGTCTCGTTTCGTTTCTCGTTTTTTATATATCCAGGTGAAAGAGAAGGGAAGAAAGAGAAAGAGCCCCAAACTGTATATTTTTTTTGGGAAGAGGCATACAGCATATCTCGCCGATTTTTGGCAAGACATAAGGGCAGGCATAGGAGTTTTATTTTCAAAGCGAAACATTTTCCGGGAAAGGGGGGCACCCCACCCAGGACGAAATTGGTAAAGAAGATGGTACATAACTGTTGTTGGGTTTTGTTTATCCCCCGTGAGGATATAAGGAGGGGGAGAGAGAGAGAACCCCCCCCTGAAGGGAAGAAGAGGTGGATATACCAATTGGCGAGAGATGATAAAAGACTATCATCATAGTAGTGCAAAGCCCCTATCGAGAGGATAGACACAGAGAGAATCAGAAGCACACCAACCATATTTTGACACCATGGCATTCTTTTGCAGATAGCGAGCATCTTGGGCACACGTGACCTCGTCAAACTGGCGTAACATCACGCAGATGAAGGGTGTACACTTCGATAGAAACTCAAACTTCAATGTGGTAACGAGCCTAAGGTGAAGCAGAAAAAGTATCGGCCTGGAGATAAGGGCCTCTATACAATGCTTTGCCCAAAATAAGCCAGACCTCATTCCTCAGCTGCTTGTCCTCGGCTGGAGAAGTCTGTATGATAAATGCTATCCTCATCCGAGTTCCCGTTCCCTCCTTCACTTTCATTTCCTCCTAAGAAAGGAGGGGGAACACACTCCTTCCCGTATTCATGAAAGCCCATGACTTCCCATATTCATGCATATCGATCCATGCTTGCCGTTCCCGCCTCCAAAGTGACGAATAAACTTTTTGGTTTGGTTCAGGGGAGGAGTTGTCTCTCTCGCTCAAGTGCCAGACCCGAAAAATCAGTAATGATGCCTTCCCCTCCCCTTGTTAAAAACGCCGCGCTATGCCGTGAAATCACCGTCCTCCTTGTCATTGTCCTTCTTCTTTTGCTTCTGCTTCGTCTTCGTGCTGGACCTGCTCCTGGGCTTAGCCTTAGCCGTGGTCGTCGTCGTCTTGTTCTTGGTGACTCTGCCACCGCTAGTCTTGTTGCCCCTGCCTCTGCCCGCCATCGAGCCGCCTCGGCCCCGGCCCCCTCTCGGGCGGACCGCGCAACCCTCGCGACCCTCGGTCTTACTCGTGCTGACGCTGGCAACGCTGACAACGCTCGCCTGGCTGGCCGTGCTGCCGGTGCGATCCCGTCTCCGCATGTTTGCCCCCTATGACAAGTCCATGCTGTCGCGGTCGTCGCCCAGCCTGTCGCCTACGGAGCTCAGCCCAGAGCTCGGCGGTCTCGACTCCTCCTTGATCCGCGGCGAGGTCGCCGACGGTGCGCTGCCCGGTGGCGGGCCCTGCATCTTGGACCGCCAGGTGTGGATGCTCGGGAGGTCGCCGCCCTCGACCTGGACCTCGCCCACGTCGTTGCCCTTGCCGATGATCGTGCCGTGGTACTTGGAGTCTTCGCCCGTCTTGCTGTGCTTTTTCTTCAGGACTATCTCATCACGTTAGCTTTTGTCGCAAGTCTCTCTTTCCTCTCCGTCCCGTGCATTGAGGGAGGTCGAGGCAACGAACCGTTCAAGTAGTCGCCCAACTCCAGCTCCCCATCACCAACCGCCGCCTCGCGAATGGCCTTGTTCCGCGGTCCGGAGAACCACTTGATGAACTCGTCCACGCCTCTCGTATCCTCAACGATCTTCTCTCTCTCGCGTCCCCTCTCAGTTACCGCCGTCGGCGTCGCCATTGTCAAGTCTCCCTCGCCGTCCGGCACAGCTGCAGCAGCAGCAGCCGCCGCGAGCTCTGCGCCCGCCTCGCTCCTTCCTTCCTCGTCCAGCGAGTCTAGAATCTCGCCCAGTATCGCGCCTCTCCCCTCAGCGAGCACATCGTCCGGGGGCACGGCACCCAGCTCCTGCAGCGCCATGCGTACGTCCACCATGCCCGGGCCAGCGTCGCCCTGCGGGTCGTTGTCGCCCGCGTGCCGCGCTGTCGCCTGGCAGAGAGCGAACATGTAGCGCGCCGCGAGCTCTGTGACGGCATCGAGAACCACGGGTCGTGCGGCGTGATATCCTGTCGCGCGCAGGATCTGGAGGACCGCGGGGCGGAGGAGGGCGTGGAAGAGGACTGGTGGGGGTGTCATTGTGCTTTTTCGTTTGTCCTTTCGTGTATTTGGGTATTTTCAAATTTGAATTAAGCTTATTGTTTCTTTCCGCCCTCGGGAGTATCGTAGAGCTCAAAGATTTTGTCGGGGCCAAGATCAAGGGTAGTAAGCGGCTCGAGAGGAAATCGCGGGTTTGCTGTGACTGGGCTCGTTCGTGGGTTTTGCGATTTCGTCGGTCACCTTCGGTTCTGAGGTAGGTTCAGGAAGCTTCGCATGATGTTGTGACGCGTAATTCTCGGGTCGCAAGTCGTCACTGGATGGATATATAGGCTAGAAGAAATCCGTTGGTCACGTCAATCCCTATGTGCAAGTCGTTCTTT